CTCAACAGCTGCAGGCGCACAGCGCTGCCAGTGACACGACTTTAGCATCCGCCTGAATTCCGCTTTCCCCGCTGGCGTTATCCCTGCTTTCTGTTTTCCTTTGCTTTTCCCAGCCGTGGCTTTGTTGTGTTCGTGTGTGCTTTGGGCGTTAGCGAGAAGTGTGCAATTTTCAAGTGGTCCTTTCGGCCCCAGAATCGCCGACTCGGGCGTTAAGCCGGCGTCGAGCACTCGACTTCCAACTGGGGGATGGGATAAGGACGAAGGGATGCCGGATGTATGGTGTCTCTGACACCTAATGATCAAAAATTACTCATGTGAACACACGCAAATATAAAACAAAAAATAATTCAAAATTTTCTTCGTTAAAGTTCGTTAAACAATCAAAAAATAAAATAAGGGTGGTTTTTTTGATTGGTGTGGATTGGTGTGGTTTGATAAGGTTATTCATGTTCACACATCGTTTGGTATCTCACCACGGATTTGTATCCCGCATCTGATAAGCGCGGCATTAACGCTTGGGTAAATTCACACCCCAATCGGAAGGACAATCCACCCTATCGCGATTCTTTGTGATGATGCGTCAACATCGACTTTGAATTGTCACATTTCACTAATTTACAGAATAGATATTTTCTATTGTGAAAAATTGTTGAATCTATCGCTAAATAAAAGAAAAAAAGAAAAGGAAAAAGTGAATGAAAACACTTGAGAAGTTGAGATATTGAAATGTCGACTGCAGGACAAATCTCGCTTCAAGATTGGATGGGTCGTAATGGTCGTAATTAGAAAAGTAATTGCTTCTCAAGTTTGAAGACTTGGATCACTTAGATTCATTAAAGTTTCTCAATAAAATCATGAATAAATTCATTGAAGCATGAAATTATAGAATTTTTTCTTTCAACTAAAGAAAAAACTCTTTATAATATCATATTCTATACTATTTTATTTAAACTATTAGTTTTTGTGTAAAAACCGTGCTGAATTTCCTATATCACAGGAATAATTTAATCTTTCTGCATCATAGACTGGATATAATGGGTTTCAAGCATTTTAAAACCTTTTTTGCACTTAAACGATTAGTTAGTTTCAATCAATTTAATTTTTTTGATAAAAACAAGTCCGATATTGTCAGTAAATATTAATTTAATTAAAGGACAGGGTCAAACTCGTTTGTTAAATTAATTTCAGCTGAAAACAGGAGCAAAGTTTTTCGTTTAAATTAATTTTGGCTTGACGGACAGCACCATAGTGTTTGTGGAAATTTATACCGGTTAATCAATTAAATTTTTACAGAGGATTTTTGGATTTTTTATTCTGAGAAAGATTTTCTATCTTGTGCTATAGCTTAGGCAAATGTGCAGGCACCAGCTGAAACCCGTGACTAAAACACATGACTAAAGTACTTTAGTCACCACCATGGCCATCCGTGTTTAAAATACCACTTTCTATGTCTCAAAACCGTGAAAAAACTAAAAATAAAATTATAGAAGTTAGAATTTAGTGTTCTAGCCATAAAATTAATATTTTTACATAAATTCCACTATTTTCCTTATTATAGTAAACAAATGTTCCATTTCTTTAATTTGTCTTAACAGGTTTATCCTTAATATCCTTCCGTATTCTTACATTTTCTAACATTTCTAAGGATTCGTAATGCTAAGCCGTGAAATGTTTTCAATTCGTTGCAGTCGCGTGTAATCCCAACTTTTTTTTCTTGCGTCTTACGTCTTACGTCTTATATTTTCTCTTTTCCTTTTCTTAGGTGTACTTCCACGAGTATAAAAGTGTTGTTAGTATTCGTACTCGTACTAGTATGTATATCTGTAGATAGTGGCTTTAATTAGCGCATTACTGCAGCAATGACTCATTTGTCACAACAACATCACAAAGGTGTTCTGATGCGCGTCCTGTTTTGTCTTTCAATTCTAAGGATTCACAATTCGCAGGGGAAACGTAATTACGCAGAGACGAGTACATACAAACTGCAAAGTTGTGCAAAGAGCAAAACTTCCCGCTCTATATATTGCAGCACTACGAGTATTCAGACTACTTCAATTACGGTGAGTAAAAACACACACCGTTAATATAAATTTATATTTAATAAAAATAAATTGAGGAAAATACTTCTAGAGAGAAGTTATTTCAAGAAATAAATTTAGAAGAACTTAAATTAATGATATCATAAAAATTAGAAAAGATAAAAGAATTATTTTTGCTTTTTGGGGGAATTTTAACAAAAATTGAAAGAAATTTATAAAAAAAAACATGTAATTTATCTTTACTAATATTATAAATGCGAAAGTCCTGATGTTTGTTACACTTTCACGCAAAAACTACTTAACCAATCATTATGAAAATTTGTACACATATTCTTAGTGGTCCCCGAATGGTTATAGGCCACTTTTTATTTAATAAAAAAAATATTTTTGAAATAAAATAAAAAAAATGTTTAGCCAATAATACCTCTGCATCTGGCTATTTGACTACTTTAACGCCATCTAGCATTCCAGCAATGAAGCTCAAACCTAAGTACTATAGTACCATCACACTGTATTATCACACTGTATTACCGACAGCTACGTCAACATCAAATCCAATTGACTACACTATGGAGACTGTACACTATACTTCCATAGACTATACATACTTTCAGCCATTTTAAACTTCCCGCCATTCTAATTCATTGTTACTTCTTCTGTGATTACAGACACGTACGGAAGCAACTTCATTATTTTAGATATTCGCGAGCGAGCCAAGGGTTAAAGCTATATTATATAATGTTTCAAGTGGCTAAATGACAGTTTTTGTCACGAGATTGATTAATAGCAAGCGTAGCACGGTATTTCATATAGTCTTGTGCTGCACCGTAGGCAAATGCGCAGGCGCAAGCTCCACTTCGTGACTAAAACCCGTTACTAAAGTACTTTACTCACGGTTATGGGCGTCCGTGACTAAAGTACCACTTTTTATTTCATAAAACCAAAGAAAATTCATTTAAAAATTTCTAATCGAATAAAAAATTTATAATTTTTAATAAAACTACAAAATACCAATTAATTTTTAATTGCAACTTAAATAAAACTCTAAAAACTTAGATTAGTTTGTTAGTTTAAGATTAACTTTGTAACTTTCGTGCTTTTCTAATCTTCTAATCATGTCTACATGCCAAACTAAACTTTAACTTAAACTTTAACTAACGAAAGTAACCCGCTGCCTATTTGTCTAGTATTCATTGGTACTCGTACGTCTACGAATTCTCCACGACATCCACGACTTGCTCGAGTACCTTCGTACCTGCCTTCCACAATTTCCACCCTCTTATTTCCACGCACCTACAACTTAAACTTTAACAGTTATACACGCACACATACTCCCTCCTTCCTCTTCCTTCACTTCCTAACTTTCCACTCACGTTTCCCACATTCCACTTGAAAGCATACGCAGTCGTATTCAAAATTACCTTCAACGCTTCCACGTCTCCACTTTGACCGAGGTTGCTTTTACACCTTTACACTTTGCACCGTGCTGCTACAAGTATCTTCTAAATTATATTATGAGTTAAAACATGCTGGAATAATGTTGTTTTTGTCCCCGGGGTAAGAGTTGCGTGAAAATTACAAAACAACGAAAGTGAACGTAAATGTTCATTATGTGCGAAATTTATGTTTATTTGCGTGAATGGCCGCAGAGTTGAGTTGGTGAGTGTTTATTTGATTAGGAAAGAAAGCGGTTTGTTTGGTGGAAAGACACCGCAAAGTGGAGAATTAGTAAACAAGTCGTTTGGAAAATTTACGACTAATTATTTTCTCACAGGGATTAAAAATTAAAATTTTCATTGTCTCACTTCATAAATTTTTCAGAAAAATTACATATAATTAAAATACAGTGAAATTAATCATTTTTTGCATTTTTTAGCGAACAGATGAAAACTGAAAAGTTTTTGCACACGCCATTTTATTGATCCTCGGGGACTGAAACTTTCCTCAACTTTTCAAAGTTAGTCAAAACTTTCGCGAAATTTCAGCGGGGCAATGTGGAAAACGACGCAACACAATACTGTTCTTTTATTTCACGTCATAAATACAAAAACGAAACAAAAATCCACGAAATGAAGAAGTTAAAAGCACAAAAGTCATAAATTCATACCGTCTATTATTATAAAACTCAACTTTTCATTTCTATCTGCTTTAACTACTCTAAAAACTCGTAACAACAAAAGATTTCATGATTGTGTTATTAATTGTAAGAGAAATCTCAGTTTTTCCAAGCAATTAATCAAAAATCAGTTTTAACCAAAAAATTTCATCTAATTCTTTACGGTAATGTTTGAGGTTATTTTTCTCTCCAACTCCAACTGTTGCTTTTTGCCCTCCCGCACCCGCATTCTGTTTGTTGGCAATGTTGGCATTTCATTCCCATCGGATTTCCCAAGCCTGAGCTTTCTCGCATGCAAGCCTGCTACTTAAATAGTTTATGCGTGTACTGTCTGCACTTTGTCGTCCTGAAAATATGTAAATCGAGTCAAGTAAAAAGTAAAACCGACTGTGTTCTTTTTCTTCTGCTTTTTTTGTTTTTCTTGTTTCGTATTGTGAAAAATGCGCTCGGGAAAACACAAATTATGTGAACTCGAAGGGATTAGATACTGTTCATGTTTTTGTTTGTTTTGTTTTGAGTGTAAAGTTTGCAAGGAGTAAAATGTTAAATTGTTTTACAGTTTATATTCAGTCTTCCTGCTCGCAGTTGCAGCATTGTATGGAATATAAATGAGGAATTGTGAACTTTTACACTTTAACATTTACGGAGCATCAACCTTTATTGAGTGCTTTATTTAGACTTAAAAATAAAAGCTTTTATAGAAATAATAAATTTTTAAAGTTAAAATAAATTTTTTGCATTTTTTCGAAAATTTTTAATTTTTTTTGTTTTTGCTAAAATTTTCTCATTTTTTCAACTTTTTCACTTAATTTTAATTTTAAAACAATTTAGATCTAAATACTCACTTCTGGAAGTTCATCTGGCACCTTTCCCATCCATGTGAGCGACAATATCGAGCAGTCGCTTTTCGCGTTCAAGGTTCGCTCGAAATGTAAATGCATTTTCCTTTCAGCGTCGCGCTGCGGCTTGCACCTTTCTTAGCACACCTGCGTTAACGTCCAGAAATCAACCTCTACGAACCCCACGCACTTTACCTTTACCTAATAATAATTTCTTTCCATTGACGGCCATGCCACCGTCTCAAAACCGCGCAAAACAAGTCCCTCGACACATATCCTTAATATTTAACACCAAATACGCCTAACTAACAACTAACAATTAAATTTCTGTCTTATCTATAGCAACGCGCACGTTTTCCGTATCTTTACACATCTTGCGCGATGTGTGTGCTCCACATTTTCATCACACCACACGCACGCACCCTTTTTACAACCGAAGCAGGTTTGGTTTGTTGAATTGGTGAATTGTTTTTGTGTGAGTTTTGTTTTCAGTGATTTTTCACAGATCTAAGATGTGACGGCGGCGCGCACCACCGTAAACCGTCCGCCACACAGTCCGTACAGACTGCGCGTTGTCGCCACCCCGCGCAGAGCTATGCACACGTCGCGCCGTCCCCTACCGCCGGCACATCGCGCCACGCACACATATCGAGCGGCGTGTGAGTGCGGCAAACGCCTGAACCACTGCCGCCGCCGCCGCCACCATCATATATTGATTTTGATATCTTTAGGGGTGAACATGCACGCATTTTGACTCCACTGCCATCTATCAGCAAAAATCTAAAACATTTCATTAAATTTTGTTATTTACTAAAGAAACAAACCTAAAATTAAGGTTATTTGATTTGTAACTTACAAAACAAGGTTATGTATATTTTATATAACCAATAAAGTTAAATATAACATAAATATTAACTTTAAGGAAAATTATTACGTTTAGATGAATTTAAATCCATAAACGGTACAAATTCATCATCAGATAACAGTCTAACCTCTCCACACAGCCCAAAATATGATGTACTTACTTTTCACCCCATTCCTCACAAGCAGAAGCAGGCGGACCTATTTTATACAACTCAAAGTTTTCGTATAGATCAAAGCTTGCCGATAAACACAATAAAACTGATAGAAAATCAAATGACTAGATAAATTCCGATTGTACAATGCGCATCCAATGTGTGTTGTATTGGCTGCATACATTTGCAAGAAATCATTCGAATAATTCGGTATTTTATCATGCAGCAAAAATCGTAGAAATTAGGATTGTTATACGGATATTTCCTGCTTGCTCCGTATGCATTGTACGTCCACGCCGTGAAAGCCATAATCATCTGGGGTATATCAATACGGTTCACGGTCATATTGAAACTAACATAACCATAACCAGTCGCGCCTAGATGCGTGCCATCTAGCGCGATTTTCGGATACACATCTTGATTGAAACAGCCTTTGAGATAGCACCCAGCGAAGAATTCACATTCCAGATCGTAGTTGATGACACGCATGTTTGCAGCAGTAGGAAAGTGGTCACGATGTGCTCCAGATGATATTATATCGCGTAACAAGTTGATATTATCACGAATGATAAAGCGAGCTGCATCTGAAAGTGATTTGTAGGGACTGTCGATGTTTCCACAGGTTTCGCGTCGCCGACAGCGTGTTTTGCATGGTAAATTTTTGTGATGGCGAGCGCAGTATGCTTGTAATTGTGCTGCGGCTTCCGAGGGAGAGATTGTAATATTTTTAGTGTATGTTTATCATGACTGTGCTCGTATAGACATTGTGGGCCATCGCAATAATCTTGGATGTAATCCGGGGATGATTCGGCAGAGAGCTTCTTAATAGCTTGTTCAAAATTTGCTCTTTCTGTAGATTTTCTTTGTGATGCTATTTTTCAATCATTAGAAGCAAGAGGAATAGTTTCAGATTGTGTTTTTCTTCATTTTGATTTTGTTGCTTGTAATTGATGTATCATGACACAAAATGTCAGTAAATATTATTTTTAATTCATCACGATGGCTTGATTTGTGTAAGGATTGCGTGTATATTGACAGTTTGCATTTATTCGTTCGATTTTACGTTTGTAGCTTCATATTTCGCGCATGCGGATTCATATGTCCATGTCCATATTCATTTTATCATCAAAATATCATAAAAGTTTAAACTGTTACCTTACTGTTTAGAAATCTGACTTAAAACTGCTTTCTCAATCATTTTATGTGCTCAGACCATTTAACATTCAATAATTCTTGAGCTAATAAATGATACAAATGAAAAAATCAGAGTTTTTCACCACTTTTTATTCTGTTGCCACCAAATGCCCCTATCCATTGCAATTAATCAAGATTACTCCTTCACACAAATAACTAGATTAAAAATAAGGTTATTTCTATCTGTAACTCACAAAAACAGGTTATGTATATTTTATGCAACCAAGAAAACAAAACATAACCCCAAAAACAACTCCAAAGTAAAAGTAACACTCGATGAAGAATTTAAATCAACAAACGGTCTAAACGGATCCTCCGATAATAGTCTAACTTTCCCGCACAAACCAGAATGTATCGTAGATTCCCTTTCACCCCACTCATTGCATGCAGAAGCAGGCGGACCTACTTTATACAACGTAAAATTTTTCGCAAAAGACACAGCTTGCCGATAAACACAATAAAACTGATAGAAAATCAAATGACTAGACAAATTCCGATTATACAACGCACATCCAATGTGCGATGTATTCGCCGCGTACATTTGCAAGAAATCATTCGAAAACTGCGGCATTTTATCACGCACCAAGAAGTCGTGATAGTTCGGGTTAATATACGGATACTCAAGAGTAGATCCATAGCCATTGAACGTCCATAACATGAACGCAGTAACCATCTCGGAGATTGAAATACGATTCACGGTCATATTGAAACTAATGTAGCCATAACCAGTCGCGCCGAGATGCGTGCCATCAAGCGCAATTTTCGGATACACATCTTGATTGAAACATCCTTTGAGATAGCACCCGGCGAAGAATTCACATTCCAAATCGTAGTTGATAACACGCATGTTTGCAGCAGTATGAAAAATATCACGAAATGATCCAGTTGCTATTACGCTGCGCATTGTGTTTATCCACGTGCGAATGCAATGACGTGCTTTATCTGAAATTGATTTGTAGGGACTGTCGATGTTTCCACAGGTTGTGCGTCGACGACAGCGTGTTTTGCATGGTAAATTCTTCGGATGGTGAGCGCAATATGCTTTTAATTGAGCATCGGCTTCAGCGTGGGAGATTGAAGTATTTTGCAGGGAATGTTTATCAGCACTTACATTGTATAGACACTCACACATTTCTCTGTTGCATTCTTCTTCGAAATAATCAGTGTCTGCGTAGAGCTTGCTGGCAGCCCGTTCAAAAATGGCGCTTTCTTCGAAAACAGCTCTTTCTTCATATTTTGTTCTTGAAGCTATTCTTTTAACCATTATTAGGAAAATTATTAGTTTTAAAGATTGCATTTTCTTCATTTTGATTTTAAAGTAAAATTAATATGTCAAGCAAAGTAATGTCAGATGATTCTTTTGTGCGCATGCGCGATAACTTGATTTGTGTGACGTTTGCACCTATGATAATTTGATAATACCCTAAATATAACCCCAAGGAAACAATTTAATACATTAAGTTAATGATAAAAAAGCAACGAATATTTTAATCAAGCAGTTTTCAACTCGCATCACTGTCACAATCATTTGGATCGTAATCTTTATCATCCTCATCATCATCATCAATATCTAGGTCCTCCAGGTCTTGGAAAAGTGATTCATCCACTTTTACTGCATCACCTTTAACATAATTAATAAAATATATACCAAAATAACATAGAATACGTTTTTTATACCTTCATCTAAGAACTTGAGATCAGATTCATTGAGTGTTTGATCTTGCATGAATAATTCCCTTCCTGTTAACTTCTTACCATCTCGTTCAATTGCTTCGCGTTTTTTAGCAATACCCATTTCATCTTCAAATTGTATCTTCCACTTCATAAAACTTTCAACTGTTACTTTAGTGCCTTCAAAACGTTTCTAAACACAAAAAAAATATAAATTTATTATAAAATAGAGGAAAATATAATAAAACAAAACCATTTCAGCAGCTTCATCTTCTTTCTGCTTCTTAATCGCGGCTTCTTCAACCATTTTTTTGTGTTCATCCCATTTGACATTCAACCATTCTTGTGCTGATGACACCAATGTGAAAATCATTACCATACCTAAGTTTTCAGTAACCTTTGGGCAAAAATACTCAATATAATAATATAATACTACAAATACTATTAAAATTAACCTGTTCTTGTAAATGCAATAACAGTTCCTGTTCGAAATCATCTTCAAAGTTAACAGTGTCCTCAATTTCCATGTGAGGTGCTTCATCTGGATACTTGCTAGTGTAGGTAAAGACTAAATTACATGTGAGTCCTTCTTCTGTGTCTGCATCATACTCTTCGGATTTGATTGGTATCGAAAACTTGTGGTGAGGCTCTGATGTTAATACTAAAAGCAAGGTTTATGGTTAGGTTATATGCAAATATTTACAAAATTAACGTAATTACTTACTTGTAACATCACCGTAATAAATTGATTCTAATGCTTCTATTTCATTCGTTTGTTCTTCTTTATAGTCCATTGTGAATTGTACTGTAGTTAATTAGATATTTGGGAATAAACATGCGGCGAGAAACAAGTATTTTGACTTTTTTGATAAAAGTGACGGGGTTATATGGGTATTTATTGGTGTATGTTGGGTTGCCTACATTGGATATCCGTTAAAGATAAAAATATCTCAAATAAAACTGACTTTAAATCAAAACTTGCATAAAATTCACAAATAAAACATATTCAGCTTGTTATTATGGTACTTATTAATGTAATTTATATTCTTCTTGTATATTGCTTTAAAAATTGAAAACCTGAAATTTGTACACCGCGTTTGTATCGTGCATGTAAAGTTGCCTATAGTCAAGTAAAAAATCTGCACAAAAATAAGGATAAAACAGGATTCAACGTTTATTTTATCTATTTATCATATTTTTATAATGTTCACCATGAAGTAGGCGATAAAAATATGCGATATTGTTAATGTAATGGATAATGGACATGCGCGTGATATAATAATTATTGAATCGTAAAGAAAATGCATAAAAGGTGTCATAACAAGGCAGCGCGTTATAAATGCACGCGTAGTAATGAAAAAAGGGTGAAAAAACTGGAGGACGAAGCAGAAACAGGACGTAATCTTTGCTGTGAGCGAAAAGAACAAATAAAACTTTACGGTTATGCGCCGTCCATTACTATCCCATCGCATTACATTATCACATATTCGTTCTTTTTGTTTTTCAAGGATTCTACGCTTATCTGCCACATTAAACCACAAACATAAGAGAATATGAGTTTTATACATGCAATAGTTGAATATTTCAATAAACGCAAATAAAATATTTGTTGTTTACGTTGAAATTTGAAGTTTTTGAATTGCAACACAAAAAAGTAAAAACACAACGTTTGATAAAGATCTGCGCGTGTTGTGTGCTGTGTGTGGTTTGGCAGTGGCGTTGAGGACGGCGTGGAAACAGTTGTGCGCGCACTTTCCGCCAATTCGCAAGCAGAGACGAGCCGCCGGCGTAGACCAACGCCGCCTCCGCGATTCACGAACGCGCCGCGGACGCGAACACAACGCGAAATTTATCTTGCGCTTATCTTGTGCGTGTTTGCCTCTTAAAACTATTAAAAACATTCAAAAACAATAAAATTATTAAAATATTTCGTTGAAATTAATTTAAAGTGCATGAAATTGAATTTATAAAATAAACTGGATCGTGTTTAAGTAAAACTTTAAAATAATAAATATGTGACATGTAAGTGTAATCGAAAAACTTTAAAAACACTTTGTTCTTCAACGCAACCCGTGTTCGATGTACACAAACGCGACAAGTGCGAATAAACAGAGTTAATTTTAGTTTGACAAACTTTGCTGTCACTTCAAAAGTGTTGAGAGATGTACATTCAAGAATTTCCAGTCTCCTGGATATAATACACACTTTAAAAGTAAGTTTTGTATAATTTTTTAGAAAAATTAAATTTTTTGATTTAAATTAAGTAATTTAACGTTTTAAGCGTTTAATAAATTATTTATTTGTATAAATATCATGCAGTAATTACAGTGGCACTGCGTAATTACAAACTATAAACCTGTGTTGTTGGTGGTTTATTATAAGCGCGAATAAAAGCGCTGCGATGCGTCGATATGCTGCGGCCGCCGTCGGCGTGCCGGAAATTAATGCGGCGGCGGATGGCGACGGAGCCAACGACAGATTTCCGTACTGAATGCATCGGCAAATGTTGGGAATTTTCCTGCATTGCAATAATAATTTTTGTTTCGTTAATTTTATCAAAAACAACAAAATTATTGAAAATTTCAAAATTTTTGAAAGAAAATCAAAATTTCTTAAAATTTTATACAAAAACATCAAATTTTTATGTTTAAAAGCAAAAGAAATAAAATATAAGTCATAACAAAAGATAATCTACTTAAAACAAACATTATACTTGCTTTTTATTTGATTTTTCGCTAAAAATTGCTTTAATTCATTAAAATTAACTTTTTGCAAAAATAATAAAATCGCCAATAAAATTACAAGTTTTGTAATTTTTATCAATTGTCCTGTAACAGGTTTAACGAAATTAAATATTCAGCGCAAAGTTGAACGTTAAAACGGTTACGTTTCTAGTGCTTTAGTTAAAAACTGTTAATTAACTTTCTGCTTTCCCGCATCGCGTAGGTTGTTAGAGAAACACGTGCATTTTTGCGTTTATTAGCGTCCAGCCAGCCGACCAGCAATAATTGCACGTCGAGGATTATTAATTTTATAACGTCACGTTAAACTTTGTTAAAAACGCACAAACAGAGTTATACAACACCACAATTTATAAAAACTGCGCCATCTGGTATCAAATATCAAAAAACTAAAAATTAAAAAAATTAAAATTAATTAAAATATTAAACATTTATTTCGTTTATTTTGGATTTTACGTAGTCCTTTGAATGTTCTATAGTTCTATACTCTAGAGCAATATATTTTATGCTATTGTTTCTTTAGAAGTTGCGATCCTTCGGAAATTTGATTGAGTTTTTGTTGTATTTCAATTTCCGGTTAATAATAGTGCTTTTAATAATAATACACGGTATCCTTTCACCCTTGGCACTAAAATTACGCTGCGTAATGGAAAAGCGCCGTCGAAGAAAGTGTAAACTAAAGCAACAATCAAAAACAACAAAAACAGCGCAAAAAAAATCATCAAACAAAATTGAAACACTGCCTTTGTGTTGGATAAACCGCTGTGGTGTACACTTACATGGCTTGTTTAAAAGTTATAAGTTACCGGGGTTGTTTTTATTGAACTTTATTGCAAATTACTTTCTATTTAGATGGAAAAACTTGGTTAGGTATAGTGTGTTGCCTACTAACGGAAATAAATTACGATTTATTAGTCTACAAAGCGTAAAATTGTGTTTAATAACAAAATTACATTAGAGTTACATTAGAGTAACATATAAATATTAAAAAATAAGATTTAGAGGTTAGGTTTGTAATAGTGAGGTTAAATTAAAAATATGAAATATTTCTGTTTGTTTTAATATTATGCAAGATAAAACGTGAGTTATTCGAAAACTTTTACTTTTCACGCGTTTTTATTGTTTTTGTTGTGTGGTTTGTTATTTCAACTTGTTTGGGCTCCCTAAACGAAAATTAATTGAGTTTTTCTTTGACTACATTTTTCTGCTTCCATTCATTCGTAAAATGTTTGTTTCTTTTTAATTTTTTCTGTGTGTTAATAATATTAATGTTTGCACAAACGAAGCGATTAAAACGTGATAAAAATCACGCGCAGACGGCGAGAGGAAGCGAATCGAAAATTACTCTCGCTCGACATTGAAGCAATTAATTTCAATTTCGCTTCTTTCGGTCTCCGTGAAACGATGAAGCGATCTGTTGAATGTGCGCCAGCGAAAACAATCCTTCAAACAAAGTTTGATATTGAATAAACATTAAACATTTGGACGCATTCAAACATTCAAAGGAAGCGGGAACTCTCTGCGCTGACGTTGTTGCTTTTCAACATTTGGGGTTCTATTCTTGGAAATGAAAATAGAATTAAAATTCCCAAAATGTCAAGAAATATAAAATCAACTCTAACTATATTTATATAGATTACTAGTTTTTGCCCGCGGTAGTCTATCTATATATATATGTAAATGAATTGCTGTTCGTTAGTCTCGCTAAAACTCGAAAACGGCTGAACGGATTTATCTTATTTTGGTCTTGAATTATTCGTGGAGGTCTAGGGAAGGTTTAAAGGTGAGAAAATTCGAATAATTGCCGGGAAAATCCTCAAAACAGCTCTTTTCTATAGAATAAAATTTGACATTGAGATTCAATCATAGTTATAGTTAAATAGTTGATTCGAGATGGCGCGCTGAAGTGCATTATTAGCTATTCTTTATATAATTAATTTGTTTAAAATAAAATTGCGAATCTTATTGATAGAATTGACACATACTATGTCTAGAACAAGAGAGTAAAACAAATTACATTTTATTAAACACTGCCGGAACGAAGTCGCGGGCAACAGCTAGTGTTTAATAAAATGTAATTCGTTTTACTCTTTTGTTCAAGAAATAGTAAATGACAATTCTATCAATAATATTCGCAATTTTATTTTAAATAAATTAATTATATAAAGAATTGCTAATAATGCACTTCAGCGCGCCATCTCGGATTCAACTATTTCACTATAACTATGATTGAATCTCAATGCCAACTTTTATCCTATAGAAAAATGCTGTCTTTAGGGTTTTCCCGGCAATTATTCGAATTTTTTCGTCGTAAAACCTTCCTTGGCCTTTAACAAACATTTTAAAAAGAATTGGCCAAATTGGTTTCGGCATTGTTGAGTTATGCGCTTACCAACAGATTTTGCGATTCATTTTTATATTATACATAAGTTGTATTGCATCCTTGTGTATTTTAACCTCTAAGATATGCAACCCAATGTACCGCAAAAATTATTTGTCGTTATATAATTTTAATTTAATTGAATTCACGCGATAATTGGTTTTAAAGCTTTTTATCTTTATAATTCAGAGATTTTTTGCTCTAGAATGCGCGATGCGGTAGGTGCTTAATTAAAATGTAAATTAATTCTTTATTTGAAGCACAAAAGACGAAAGGTTCTTTCATTCCCTTTCTCTTTGGAGACCATTCTGTTTGTTATGACAAAGAATCACGCGCCAATGAGGGTATTATACCCACCTTTAAAAGTCTAGAACCTGCGAGAATAACATAGATTCATAGGCGTCAAAGGTAATTGTATTGAAATGTGAAATAATGAGATTCTAGCTAGAAAAAACTGTTGAGGAATAATTCCACATTTTATACCCTTCAAATGGAATTTATCACAACAAAAATAGCCTATATCAATTTTCACATTATAAAATATCTCTATACAAAAATTTATCAAAATATCTTCAGTGGTTTTGCGTAAAAGTGTAACAAACATACAAATAAATAATACTGAGTAAGCAAAAGTGATTGTCAGGTGTGGGTTCGAACCCACGCTCTCATACGAGAACCAGAGCTTAAATCTGGCGCCTTAGACCGCTCGGCCAACCTGACTTGTTGCAACAACATAAAATAAACAATAACATTGTTATAGCTACCCATAACTATAACTCCTCATTCACTGTTAAACAATTAACCGGCAAAACACTATTTTTACCTCAACAAAGCAATACAATAAAAACTACAATATAAATTGTGAGACGATGTAAAAGAGTGAAAATTTAAATATTTACACAAAACGTCACATAAATTATCCCAACATTTGCATAGGTTTCAATGTTGAACGTTAAAAAGTTCTAGTGATAAAACGCGTGTTAGAGACACATTGCGATCGGGCGATCTATTTGTTTGACTTCTGTTGCGTTTATTTTCGTTGCACGAACCGTGTGCTGATATGAGCCACGAAGTGATTGTTCACAACTTGGGCCTCTACGGCGTCGTATATCATGCGCGCGATAAATATTACACTGCAACCAAGTATACTCAGGTGAAAATGCATGCAGAAGTGTCAAGATATTGCCAGGTAATACATTAATCAAGTTTATAAATTACTTTAATTTTAAAATAATGGTAATTTATATATTAAAAACAAGTTTTGTTAGTTAAAGCACTTATAACTCAAGAACGGTTTGACAGATTTTGATCATCTATGACTTTTTAGGTTAGTTTTAGTCAGGAATAAGAGAATAATTATTAAAATATTAAAATTTTTATTTTTAAAGGTGTTAAATAAGGGATGAAAGTTGATATAGACATTTATTCATGTTTAAGTTGAATTTTTCAAATATAGATGGCGTTAAAGTATATTATTATGATTTTGTAATGAATATTTGAGTTCCTGTACATGTACAGAACATAAATTAAGGTTATATCCACTGTAGAAAATAAAATCTTCCATTTTGGCTCCATATAAATGTTTAAACTTTACGCAAACTTCAAAACCGAGTTAAGCTCAATTGAAACATTCATAAAATTAAATTTAATCAAGCGTGTTTTACACGAGTTGAATTCAAAGCACGAAAAACCCACCTGCGTTAAACAAACACTCAAAATTTATAAAATAACCTCAATTTCCCGCCGGTGGATTACATTTTATTAATTATTTCATGCTCATTTCATAAACCCAACTGGAAGCATTCGTAATTTATGCGAGTTTATACATTTAATGTTATCATAACGTAAATCAAATCAATTTTATCCGATAAATGAACGTAAAAGTTTTCATTTCGATATTAAATTGAATAGCAACGCGGCATTTTACCTAAAATTGAGCAATTCGTTATGAAAATACTGTTTTACTCACCCATTCTGCCTGTAAATGTAAATTTATTAGTTATTCACGTGTGCAGGAGGTTATGACACGTATTAACATGTTTATGTGGTTGCATACATTAAAGATATGTATACATTATTATTATAGTATTA